GAAAATAAATACCATACAGGCATGGTCACTCTTTCCCAGTGGACTCTCCAGCTTGATATCTCCTACTATAGATTCTTCATTACTGAACAACAGGTCAAGGGTATTGCCTGTGCTGTCTCTTATCCTGGTGATTTCCTCTATATGTTGAGTGAGAAAGCAGACCCGTACTTTCTCGATGAACATGGTACCAACATCATTCAGTCCCATAACAGAAGTATAATTGCTCCAATATATTTGTGGAAGATTAAAATCACCTACAATTATTTTATAAAGCACATTTTTATCATTGACTTCCTGCATAAGTTGGAGCAAATTAGTATTATTGCTTTCATCACTATTAGGGCTTCTGTAAATGGAGGTGAATAGTAAATTACCACTAATGCATGGCACTTCTTTACAGCAATATTCACAAAACTTAGTACCAAGTTCAACACTGTAAAATTTGGTTCCTTTCCTAATATATGTTAACATACCTCTCCCTTCCTTATTAAGGAGATTTTGCTCTATAATATCATATCCTTCTAGGTTGTATTCTGCTGTAATCCGTTCATATCTGTAGTGTTTTGGCTTTACCTCCTGAAGGGCTAGGTATTACTTGCGGAGTATTTTCCATCTCCTTCAACTGTGCATTTAACTCTATTAACTTGTCTGACCTCAACACATCCACATTACTAAACATAATAAGAAATTTACCTACATTAACATTTTGTTCTTGTTTTTTCCTATTTTTAATCAGTTTCCTTACACTATTTACACTACCGGTATGTACATGTTTCTCCTCTTTGGGCATCACTACTTCTCTTAATCCTCTTGGACCCCTATTTTGACGACTTCGCCTCCACGGAGGACCCACCACTCTGTGTCTCCCCTTCTCAGAGTCCATTAAGTTTTTTGCCTCCTGCCATAAGACAGCTTCATGTTCTCTCTCCCTTTTAGTTAAGTCATTGGCTATTCTTATGTCTTGGAATTTCATGTTACCTTGCAGGTTCCTGATGTTTCTAAATAGGTTGGCCTTTATATCTGCAGTAGATAACTTGATTAGCATGGGTAGGTCTAGCTTTTCCCTGGATACATTTACCCAGCCTAATCACTTTAACTATTATCTCCTGGCCACTAGTGATGCCACATTCTTTTATTAGGTTCAGTGCATAAGATTTATCACTCTCAATCCTTTCGCTCATTGTTGGGGATCCAGATTCTGGTGCACCATATTCCACTATGTTGTTTTCCCTCATCTTCTCTCATTTAGTTCCTCTATAAGTTCACCAACAGGCTCTGGTTTCCCTGTGTTGTCTTCCTGCTTCACTTCAGTGGCACTACCTGTTGCCCTGCTAGAATCTACTTTGCCTTCTAAACCCACTGTTCTAGCCTCCAAGGTTCCCAGTCTGTTTTCAAAACCCCTGTCATTTTTAGCATTTGTTTCCAACACATCATTTATTTCAACAGACTTTGCCTCCAATATACCCATCCTGACTTATATCTCCTTATTCTTATCATGTTCTTGTGCTGTAAATTCTCTGTTGATTTACTTTGCCTTCCAATTCATTTTGTCTGGTCATTTGTTCCACCTGTTGTTGTTCAATTATTTTTATGTACTTGTGCAGTTTAGCACAACCCTTCTTGCAGTGACTGCAGTACCACATCAACACTCCTTCTGCCTCCTCATCTTGCATGAAGTTATTTACCTTTTCTGGTAATTTTTCACATTCGATGTGGAACCACACTTCACAAACATCACAGCTAACTGCTTTGTCGCTATCCTTGATTGTTAATCCACATTCTCCACACATTTTGGTGTTCTTCTTTCCGCCATGTTTGTTGACACTTGCCTTCCTCCTCCTGTCCCCTGAATCCTTGGTCTCACTCATTTTGACTTCTTTATTGTATATACAAAAATTTGATGGGTACCTTCCTGTATGCCTCCGTATATTCACAGAACTGCGTATCTACTTAATTTCCACTTATGTTCCTTTGTTATTCATAAATTTGGGCAAAATTACAAGAGCTCTATCTACTGGCAGGTCTAAGGTAACAGCCAACAGTAAATTCCAACATTTAATTGGTCTAGGAAGGTCAAGCCTTGTTTAGTATTATAATGACCTCACATGGTTCAAATTACCCCCTTATAGCCTACCTCACCTCCTACACTGCGTGTCTCCTTCATAAATCATCACTCGCATGTGTTCCCGTACATGTCACGCTGCCACTCAAGTGTTTTTTTTTTTTTGCAACCAATTAAAATGATTTTTTTGGTTTAATTCGCAGTATTTTTTACTCAATCAAAATCGATTTTTATTTTGGGTTTCTCATATTTCCAAATTCATATTCATTTCCGACCATGGAAGTCTGTGATGGGAGTCACTTAAATTATATGGAGCTGATTGCGAGTTTTTGGGAAAAAAACGAAGAAACTGTAGCATTTTTTCGATCGCATGGTGTTCTCCCAACCTCAGTAAATTGTCATAAGTGCAAGACTGAATGTAAATATCGCAAAGACCAACATATGTGGCATTGTCCTAACTCGTCCCTTATCCCAAAGACAAAGAAGAGACGGCAATAAGGTAAGAAGTAGGTGATTCCATCATATGGTGAGAGTCAGTTAGGTTAGGTTAGGTTTGGTTTTTGTTTTTCTAGTGGTTTTTGGTGTATTTTTTATTGGCTTAGCCATTAATTTTTGTTCGGAAAACGTCCCACGAAAAAAAATTGATAAAAAAAACCCAGCCAATTTCCGCCTGAAATGAAGGGTATGTTAGGTCAGGTTTTATTAGGTTCTATGCATTTTCATTTCCATTTTTGTGTTTAATATCATGATATAAGTGTGAAGAAAAAAATTCAACCAATTCGGACAATTCCTTCTGGTGGTTACCCTCTTCTACACCTTTACCTTTTCCTGCTTTGAGAGATGAAATAATGCATCATTTTGGAACTTCCAAGAAAATTTTTTCGTTACCTGGAAAATTCCGGGGATGAGGGATTATTTTCCGGCTTGAAAGAGTTGTCTCGTTACCCGGAAATCTCACATTCCCAGAAGTACTCTGCACCAATTGTACTGATTAAAGACCAAGTTTAAGCCTAAACAAACGACCCCTCCTGGGAATAAGCACCTGACAGTTTTGTTGGCTATCCTTTGTCAAATTGCCTTACTGTTTACCATAGTTGTTTACCTGCAATGTCTAAGCACATGAAAAGCTGTGAACTCCCATGACCTACGTGCACCGTATACAGTACATACATTCTCAATAGCTATTCATGCTGAACTGTATAACTGCATAGTTTATAGACATATCTATCCAATTGTAAACTTGTATGACAGTTTTACTGAATAAATATTATTATTATTATGAGACAGCATATACAGTGGCCTCGGTTAACGAACTCAATCCGTTCCAGAAGGTCGTTCGTTAACCGAAACCATTGTTTCAATGGGTTTTTGGGTAATTGGTTCCAGCTCACCGAAAATTTCCTAAATTCAACAAAAATGGTAGAAAAGTTCACTTACTTTGAGGTGTGTATGTAGAAGGCTCCTGGATGATGATGATGATGATGGGATTTAGAATGGGGGTGGAGGAGAAGGAAGAAGAGAAGGCATTGGGGTGGAAGAGAAGTCACCCCATGGTGCCATTTCACCCATAAAATTTTAGCTCTCTGGTTTAATTCAAGATTATTTTCTTTAAATCAACGCTGCACTGCATTATATATTGTCAATATATAAAATATATTTCAAAATGACCAATAATTTGCTTGGAAACACAGAAAAAAAGCGTTTAGTTGAAGAGAGTCTCAAGCAAGATGTTACCTCCAGTGAAAACAGAGAGAGACTGACGCCTGTTTGCTGTGTTAAGAGGCTGGATGCCGCGCATTAAACTAGTCACTTTACCTTCAATTTTGTTCAATAATTGTTAAAATGACTAAAAAATTGAATATTAAACTTTTAAAATTATTGAATAGTATAAACTTCTTGATATTTACAAAAATAGTAAGGAATTTAAGCCCTAGAACCGATTAATGTATTGGCGGACTGATACTAAAGCTGGTTGCCCGGTCAGTGCAAGCGAAAACATGTTGAGGTCGGTTCGTAAGAAGTTCGTTAAGCGAATTTTTTTTCGTTAACCGAATTGAAGATCCTTATGGAAGGCAGTTCGTTAATCGAAATTACGTTAACCGAGGTGTTCGTTAAACGAGGGGTCACTGTAAATAGCCGAGTTGTGTAGATAAACATTCTTTGTGTGTATTTGTGGTTAAACTTCTAATTTTAATGGTCTCCCTATACTGTACAGTACTGTACTGAATATAGATATGGAAAAAATTATGATTTGCCTCCCATACAATCATGTTGTTTGAGTGTACAATCCCCATTCTTCTGAATATGTGGACTGGGGACAAAGGACTAGAGGTTGACCAGATGTCACATTGTTAGTTACATCATGTACAAAGGTCAAAATGGTTTTATCAAGAATATGATAACAGTACCTTTTCTATCTTTAGGATGATTGCCATATATCATTGTCATCTGTATTCGGCTCTCAACATGTGGTATTTTTTTTACATACTGTAATATATTGAGTATACAGGTTGACAACCCTTTATCCGAAATTCTGAAAACCGAAAAGCTCTGAAAACTGATTTTTTTTTTAAACGGGTATTAGCCCACCCGGGCACAAGTCACTGACCCACACCAGGGCCTGGGGGCGAAAATGTAATAGTAATAATAATTACTGTATAATAATAATAATAATAATAACAATAATAATTATTCATAGTAAATAAAAATTTTAGTAAAAAATACACAAAAATAAAATAATAATAATAATAATAACAGTAATACTGTAATAATAATAAAATAATAATAATACTGTACTGTAATAATAATCAAGAAATACAAGAATGAAAAAAAGATCAAAAGTGAGAAACACGACCCAGACCTATGAATTATTATTATTATTATTATTATTATTATTTAAATTTATTCAATGGCTGGATACTTTTATATACAGTATACTTCAAAATATGTTTGAGACGAGTTGAACTTGAAATTTTGTTGTTGTCTTCATACTGTATCGCTGAAAGAAGATGTAAAGATAAGTTGGTTGATAAGAACAGTATCAGTACAACACATATGAAAGGAGCTGAAGGTAGGTAGACACCCAGGATATGTATTTGAGATCTTTAATCCTTTGTCAGTTTTTTTTTGCATTGTAAATATGTGAAGAAAAATATCAGTTAAGAAATATGGCATGTGAAAAATGTAACCTTTTAACATTTATATTGTTATGAGTTGTCACTAATTGTGCTCCAAGGTTTGTTTATGTGCAGAGTGACAAGTTGTGCTGCCCTTGCTACCATTGCTGAGCTTGGTCTAATGACCTAGGATTTAACTACATTTACATTGATTTTTTTAGGGGGAATGGGGGGGGGGGGGAATAGCCCACCCGGGCACAGGTCATCGACCCACAATGGGGCCGAGGGGCGAAAAAAATAAGAGTAAAAACAAATTAAAAATATAAAAGAACAAGATTATATTCATCTATACCATGAATACCCTGGAAACCCAGCTTTTTAAAGTGAGACATTGTATGAGTATGGTAAAACAGAAGATGGCAGAGCATTCCACAGTTTGGCTGTGTGAGGAAGGACGGATGTACTATAACGGGTTATTCTAGTGTGACCGACCCACAGAGAAACGGTGGGCACCGCGAGCAAGACGAGTGTTACGAGCCTTCGGCCTTGCCGGCGGTACACAGGATGCCAAATCCACCGAACATTGCCCATTAAAGTACCTGTAAAAGAGAGAGAGTGAAGCAACATTGTGGCAAAGAGAAAGGGAAGAAAGATTATCAACTAAAGGAGGAGAGTTAATAAGATGAAATGCCTTTGATTCCACCCTATCTAACAGTTGGACAGAAGAAGAGCCACTCCAGATATGGGAGCAGTACTCCAAGTTAGGACGAATGAATCCCTTATATACCTGAAGCAACTGCTCAGGAGTGAATTGGCTACGGCATCTGTACAGCATTTCCAGCTTTCGGGAGGCAGCTTTAGCAATGATGAGGATGTGTGGCTTCCATGACATAATAGAGGAAATGGTGAGGCCTAGCATAACTATTTTAGAATTTGGCAGAATGATTGCATCCTGAAATGTAATTGGTGGGAGATCATCTAATTTGGAAAGTGTTATACCACTATTGAATTTAACCAAGTTTCTACCTCCCCATTCGGAGATGCTGCACAGATCCGCGTTGATAGATGTAATGATATCAGCTCTAGAAACAGATCTAGTTTGAGAATTAGGGGGAAGGGGAAAATGTAAAGAAAAGTGAAGAGTAGAATCATCAGCGTAAGAATGGATAGAATTAGTCGTAGTGTGAAGTAAATCATTGATAAAAAGAAGGAAGAGAGTACCGTAGGTGGAAGTACAAAACCTTGTGGGACACCACTATTGGTAGAGAAAAAGCGAGAGATCGATCCCTTGACGACAACTGCCATGGATTGGTTCTCAAGGAAGCGAGAGATTAAGAGAACAAAGTGGGGGAGAGAAACCATAAGAGGGAAGTTTAGAAAGCAAAGACTTGTACCATACCCTATCAAATGCTTTGGAGATGTCGAGGGCCACGCCGAAAATTTCCCCATAATCTCCAAGAGAGGATGACCAATGATGGGTGCAGTAGTAGAGCAGATCACCAGTAGATCTCGCCTGGCGAAAGCCATACTGGTGATCTGACAAAAGAGAATGGCGTTCAAGGTAACGGAGAAAATGCTAGTTCAGGATAGTTTTGAAAATCTTAAAAAGGGATGAAGTTAGGGCAATGGGGCGATAGTTAGAGGGATTGGAATGGTCACCCTTCTTCGGGATGGGCTGAACCAAGGCATGCTTCCAAGAAGAAGGATAAGTTTGGGTTTTGGGGCAAAGATGAAACAGGTGACCAAGAACAGGGGCCAGAACTTGAGCACACTCCCTCAGAACACGAGAGGATATTCCGTTCGGTCCTTGCGCCGAACTCACATCCAACCTTGATAACACACCAGCAACCCTACGAGTGGAGATTATAGAAAGTGCATAAGTTCAGTAGGAGGAGTAGGAGGGAAAGAGTTGGAATCTTCTAAGGCGCAGTTAGAGGAGAATAAGGTGCCGAAGAGATTGGCTTTATCAGGGGGAGAGTTGGCTATAGAATTATCAGGTCCGAAGAGAGGATGAAAAGAGGGAGTGCAGAAGTTATTACAGATGCTTTTGGTTAAGGACCAGACAGATTTACTAGAAGAAGAGTTAGTCAGGACAGCGGTCTTTCTTTTTATAAAATTCCGCTTGGGCCTACGAAGAATAGCCTTACAACGATTCCTAGAAGTATTGAAAGAGGAGTGAGTAATAGGAGGAGATAGTTTCATAACTTGATATGCCATATCTCTCTTCCTACATGCAAGAGAACAGGAGCGATCAAATCATGATTGTAAAGTAAAAGTTTTGGTAGAAGATGGGATAAATGCACACATACCACCCTGTATAACCCCAGCAATGCTGTCAGCACATACCAAGGCATCCTGAGTGGAAAAGCAGTATTCATCCCAAGAAAGTCGGAGAAGAATTCTCGCAAGGATTGCCAGTTTGCCCTCCAATAGTGCCATAGTTGGCATTTAGAGGGGGGTGGGGAAGGTGATCATGCCCAGTTTGATGTAATAGAAATAAGATTGTGATCAGAAGACCCTAAGGGGGCAGAAATTGAGTATGAATAGTGTGAGGGGTTAGAGGTAAAGCAAAGATCAAGAACGTTAGTAAGTTGATCGTGTCGATCAGGAATGCATGTAGGGTGTTTAATTATTTGTTCCAGATCATTAAGTAAGGAAAAATTGAGTGCCTCAGCTCCACCTGGGTCACCCTTACAGAGCCAAAGAATTTCAGGATCATTCCCTCATTTTTTTCATTTTTTTCCGAGTTGAAAACAGATACTGTATGTATTATATTTTTGCATAATTTTTCAGATTGTAGTGACTCGGCTCAGTGTGGCCACATCATGGCGCAGACACGCATGAAGGTCATCTTTGGTCATCTAAACCAAAGAAACCAACAAGCTGTTGTATCCTTTTATGTACAGTACTGTGTAAGAAATCGATGAATTTTCTTTTCAAGGTAATGCAAAGCAACAGATGAATGTGTATTTACTTGGACTTTATAATTTAGTATCATGCAAACTCTCAGGTGTGATCGCATTATGTATAGTAACATTTACAAGGCAATGCGAGTGTTATGTTCCCTTCCAATCACCACATCAGAATGTGAGAGGTGAGTATCTGCGCTAAGAAGGCTGAAAGCTTACACCCGCAGGACCATGGTGGAGAACAGACTCGCAGGACTGGCACTGCTTCATGTCCACCATAACAGAGAGATGGATGTGGTTGTGAAGAGATTTGCTCAGTTGAATCCCAGAATAATGGCACTGGGAGATATATGTAACAGTTAAAGTAGGTACAACTCCTGGCAATTGTGTGCAGTTTACTTTTATCTTTTAGGCAAATTGAAAAATGTGTATGTAAACAGTGTAAATGGTGATGTCTTTATTTACTTATTTGACAATGTTGTATGTAAATAGTGATGTGATGTTTATGACTGTGTGAGGGTGATTTTTATTACAACTACATGGTGATGTTATTATAGTGGTGGTGATGTGACTGTTCGTGTATGACTGTGTGGTTACAGTATATGATTTTATAACAATTTCAGACACTGTTATGGGCTCATCAACAAAGAAACATCTGTATGATGAAAGCTACATTCAGTATGCAGTGGACCCTCACTTTAAGCGGTCAATTGAACCCACGGCGGCCCGCGTAAAGCGAGAAACGCGTAAAGTGAACAACATAACATATGGGATTAATTGAAATAGAGACCGGGCCGACCCCCAAACTCCACTTTTTCAGACACAATATCTACGTTGTAGTAAAAATAACTTCTTAATTTTATGATGGTATGCACAGACAATTAATAATTAAGAGAAATATCAATAATATTAGGTTTTTTAACACTTACATTAGTAGAAAAAATGGCTGGGCACACGGGGATGGGGGTTGGTTCCGAGGCAGAGGGCAGATTATTGGCCCTCACCTGTATTACTTGTATCAATTGTATCACTATCCACCACAGAGGCTTGCAGGGCCTCTTTGTCAAACCCCTCAAAGACCATATAAGTCCATATCCTCACTATCACTCTCACTGACTTGGGCCGGCTGTGGTGGGTGGCGGGTGCAGAACTCGGTAATGTTTTGATGACTGGGCGACCTTGTGCGCACCCTGCTCGCGCCACTCTCCGCGTAAAAGGGTACACCCACCGCGGAAAGTGAGCATTCCGTGTTCGGCAGGATACCGCGTAAACGTGGAAACGCGTAAAGTGGGACCGCGTAAAGCGAGGGTTGACTGTGGATTCACAACTATCGTCGAGAATGGGTGTGAACTGAGGGTGCCATGGGTTACGAATGCATCGGAACTTAGTTCCGGTCGGAACCTGGATTTTTATGAAGTTCCGGTTCTAGCTGGAACTTCAGTAAAATAACTGGCCAGAACCAGAACTTTGTATTGTGGTACTGGTTCCTGTTTCATAAATTGAAACACAATTCACTCTTAATGCTTCATATTCCTAATGGATAATGCAGCATAAAAAAGTACTGAATGATTAATGAATATTGATGTATGTGTAGCAAAAAATGTAGTATTACATATTAAATCATTTATTGTACGGTACATGATACATGATATATTAAATATATAGAAAATCAAAATATGTACAGGTATACTGTAATTATATATAATGATAAATTACTGATGTCCACTGTGAAAAAGGAGAGAATATTCTAAACCTTTGAATTAAATACTGTATATATTATCTTCAATAAACAACCGCAGAAACAGATGGATAAATACAGTAGAAGTCCAAAAATCCGGACTGCTTGGGGATTGGGTCGGTCCGGATTTTCGGATTTTCCGGATTCTCAGGCAGTATTTTTAAAATTCAAATTTAAGGAGGAATGAAGAAGAGATGAACAGGTACATTTTGATAGTTTATTCATTAGCAAATATAGCATGCTTCATTTATCAAAATGAGCAGTTTTAAAGAAAAAGCTGTGAATTCTAGAATTTTATTCTTTGCCTTTTTATATCATAATTTGTAGACTTTCCAATGTCGTATGTATTCATTAGAACAGTATTGCTCACACCACGTTTTAGTTTCTTAATTATTTCAAGTTTGTCACTCAATTTCAACGTGTTCTTCTTTCTCTTCGCACAACGAAGTTTATCTCCTTAAGGAGCCATTATTATGGGCTTGTACAGTACTCTGTAAATGAAAAGAGTAGGACTCAAAATTACATAAATGATTGCCTACAAGACGGAATTTGAAAAAAAAAAATCAGCCCAAAGTTAGGGGGTCGTCTTAAGCACCAGAGATAAAATTCTTACCTCTTAAATTTTGCGGTTTAGCGTGTCAAGAGTGGTGATGGAAACATGGTAAACCACTCACAAGGTCCTACCACTAATTATTTTATACTGAAACTTACATTTGGGAAGCTGGATTAAAATGAAGATTACCGGTATATTAAAATAATAAAAATGTATTATAAACCAGTCTAACATACCGTAAAAGAACAATATACCCCGGTAATAAACACAGCTGCTATCATCACCCCCCCCCCCATTTGCCAGTGACGAGAAAGGGAAAGCGACCTTGACAGTGACCGCCTGTGGCTATTTTTAGCCGTCCTTGTGTTCGGAGGTGGTCAGTAATGCATATCTGTATATTTACTGATCATAATACTTATCTCCTATAAATAATTAATTTAAAATTAATTTTTTTACAAAGAATATTCAGTAAATGACTGCGTTAATTCTTGAAACTACCGACAGTGGTAAATTTAGGATGAGAATGATTAACAGAAGTCACGTCATGGATTCGGAGTTTGGTCCTTAATGATCATAAATGTCTGGTCAACTTCACCTACCAGGTATAATGGTAGCCTCCCTTTTTCGCGAAACAAGTATATAATTAAAGAAAATACTTGCAGTGTGTTTAATGTATTACAATATATTATAGCTAAATAAATAAACAAATAAATCGGCAAATCTATTTCAAGTAAATGGAAATATTTTACTCACACCAACATTAGTTCCAGTTAAATAACTGACGCTTAAGTGAGTCACTAGTGTACAACAGCGGGTAAAATTTGATGCCAATACTTGAAGTGAATTGGCATTATTTTAAATAACCAACCATAAATAAATGGAAAAAAGATCAAAGTTGAAACATTATATTGTATGTATGTTGTGTTGTCAAAGGAAGAGAAACAATTGAAACTCAGCAATTGTGTGTAAATGAGGCAGTAAGATAAATCAGCAACCTAAGACTTGGTCACAATTTTCGTGATGCCATATGGAAGTAGGGTCTACCATTAGACAATACTGTACATTATGCTTCCAATATCTTCCCAGGCAGTAGAATCTCCCTGTTTGGTAGCTGCCTAAAACTTTTAGTAATATTACTTTGATACAACATGATAAATTTGACAAACAATGAAAATAAACAAACAAAAGTTATTTACCAAGACCTTCTCTCTCAGAACAGAGGGGAGATAAGACGGCTATTTATAGCCCGTCTTTGTGTAGGAAGTCGACCACACTAGAAATAATTCATTTAAAATTTATATTTTTTACATAGAATATTCAGTACATGACTGCAATTATAAAATATTGTATATATATATATATATATATATATATATATATATATATATATATATATATATATATATATATATATATATATATATATATATATATATATATATATATATATATATATATATATATATATATATATTTGTGTAATAAATGTATGTAGTAAGTATGTACAGTAATCTTTTTCACTCAAATCCTAATGAAACACTATTGAATTAGAATACTGTAGCTCGCTGAAGCAAGCTTATAAATTAAAGAAAATACTTCCAGTGTGTTTAATATATTACAGTATGATATAAATAAACAAATAAATCGGTAAATCCATTTTAAGTAAATGAAACAATTGTATTCGACACCGACATTAGTTCAAGTTAAATAACAAACTTTTAAGTGAGTCACTAGTGTTTACACTACATCAACCGGTAACGTTTGATGCCATTACTTGAAGTGAATTGGCTTTATTTTAAAAAACCAAGGATGTGTAAACAGCACTGGTCAATGGGATGGTTGGTAAAGGACTACTGGGTCAGTAAGCTCCCAATGGTAAGTGTCACATTTGGGGTACCGGTCTTATACAGCGAATAGGGCTCAAAAGCTACTTTTTAAATGGAAATTTTGGGGGCCGTCTTATACACCCCGTCGCCTTGTAGGCCGAGATATACGTAATGTTGTTACAGTTTGATTGCTCATTTTAAAGTGGCGACCGCATGTTCGCTTGTTGTCGCTGTGCAGCTGTGGCGCTCACGCATGCGCACATACACACAAAAGCCAACTAAATTAAAAAATAAAATAAAATACAAAAAATTTGAGTTTTCGAAAAGTCCGGATTCTTGGGTGGTCCGGATTTTTGGACTTTTACTGGAACCTTATAACTTAGTTAATACAGTACGTGCAGTTCTAAGAAGCAAATAAAAGTTCCAGTTGAAGAATCGGATAAATAAATTAAACCTTCATATTTGTAGCTTTAGTTTGACAAATGGCTTTAGAAAATTTAACATAGATCAATACGGTAATATCATTCAGTAGGGTATGAGACATATTGATTAGGTTTGGGAGAAAATGTTTTCGCCTTTATATTTGTATAATGATATAATGTGACTCATAGTGTTCCTCCTAGTTTAGATGAGTGATGTGCAACTGGAGGATGAAGGACAGGAGTCTGGACTAATGGATGATGGAGGTGACTATGGAAATGTCCCTGAGGAGATAGTATTGAGTGATGAGCTACAAGGACTAGAAAGTTCAGCTCAGGAGATAAGAAAGAATTATTGCATTTCCAAATTATAAATAGGTGGAATAAGGCCTTGAAGAGTAAATTTTTGAATGTAAAACATTGGAAGGATCCCAAGTTGACAG